GAGGTGGAGGATCTTCCCGCGGTGGAGGTGGACACGGAGGATCATCCGGAGGAGGTGGATACGGAGGAAAATAGACTCTCTGAAGTTACTTTGTTCTGAATAAAGTCAGTTCATTCCATATAAATTTTTAACTTCATTTACGCCCCTGCTTTTCACTTACTACTGTTAATTGTAATAGGTCTGATAAGCCGCAAAAGGCCTGCATACCTTATATATATATATATATATATATATATATATATATATATATATATATATATATATATATATATATATATATATATATATATATATACATATATATATATATATATATATATATATATATATATATATATATATATATATATATATATATACATATATATATATATATATATATATATATATATATATATATATACATATATATATATATATACATATATATATATATATATATATATATATATATATATATTATATATATATATATATATATATATATATATATATATATATATATATATATATATATATATATATATATATATATATATATATATATATATATATATATATATATATATATATATATAGTATATATATATATATATATATATATATATATATATATATATATATATATGTGTGTGTGTGTGTGTGTGTGTGTGTGTGTGTGTGTGTGTGTGTGTGTGTGTGTATGTGTGTATGTATACAAATATATGTATATATACAAATATACATGTACATATACATGTGCATATATATATGTGTGTGTGTGTGTATGAAGCTTTCATTTGGCTTCATGTCTCTTGTTGCTGTGTACGCTCCTATGAATGTATATTTTACGGCAAACTTGCTTCTGTGACAGACAACTGTCCTCGGCGAGATATTCGTATTATTCCGGCTGCGATCGAGCTGGCTACGAGATGTCTGTCGGTCCTCAAGGCTTAGGAGCTGATGCTGGCAGCGAGCGAGAATAGCCTCCTTTTCCGGGATTTCTGGCTCCTGGTATCAGCGTTCTGATCGGCATCGTTGGACTTGGTACAGCGATACGGGTACTGTGGCTAAGGAGATCAACCACATTCTCGTTAGTACTCGATGGAGGATCCTCCAGAACTGCAGGTTGTATCGGGGCGCCGAGTTCTATCCTGGACTATTTTACACTTTAGAATCCACGTCGCTCCAAAGAGCACCTTAGGATGCTTCATGTGGACAGATTGGGGGAGAATGAGTGTGCCCGGGGGTTTGCCAAGGCTATCTCTGGTCGTTTCACAGCACGCCATTTCCTAGTAAATAGCCTTCATCCTGCCTACCAAGCCCTGAGAAAGCTGAACTCCAAGCCCTCCTCACAGACGACTGCAGTCCACTCAGCAAATGGCCAGATAATCTCAGATCCTGATGGAGTGCAGGTGCGTTGGGCTGAGTATTTTGAGCAGTTGATCCACCAACAGTTAACTTGAACGTGGGTAATGTTGAGATTCCTCTGCCAATCCCATCCATCAGCAAGGATCTACCCTCTCTGACTTAAGTCAGGCGGGCGATTTCCAAGCTGAAGAGTGGTAAGCAGGTTTTGCAGCACCCCAGCTGAACTGTTAAAGGTTGGTAGAGAACCTATGGCAACGGGTTTGCATGCTGTCCTGTCTGCCATCTGGCAGACTGGTACCATTCCCCCTGACCTGCTGAGGGGTGTGGTCATCCCTCTCTGGAAGGGGAAAGGGGATCGGTGGGATGGCATTAATCACTTGGGCATTACACTACTCAGTATACCAGCCAAGGCACTCACGCACATCCTACTGAGACATATCAGAGACCACCTGCTGAGACACCAGAGGCCGGAGCAATCTGGATTTACTCCTGGTAAGTCCACTATAGACCGTATCCTGGAGCTTTGAGTCATTGTAGAGCGCTGTCATGAGTTCGGAAGTAGGCTACTCGCAGCTTACATTAACCTCAAGAAGGCATTTGATACTGTGCATCACGAATCACTCTGGGAGATCCTTCGACTAAGAGGAATTCCAACAAGGATTATTGGATTGATAGTAAACCTGTATACAGGCACTGAGAGTGCTGTAAATTGTGGTGGGGGCCTACCGAGCTTCTTCCCTATTAGTTCAAATGTGAGGCAAGGCTGTGTTCTTGCACCATCACTTTTCAACACTTGCATGGACTGGACTGGGTAGAGCTACTGTCCAAAGTCACTGTGGAACAATGCTGGGCAATATCAAGGTTACAGCCTTTGACTTTGCTGATGTTGTTATTCTATCTAAATCTCTGAAAACCCTAGTGGCGGCTCTTGATGCATTTAGCAATGAAGAGAAGCCCCTGGGGCTATAAGTCTCCTGGACCAAGACCAAGATCCAGGATTTTGGGGGCCTACTAGGAGACCATGTGCATTGTAGTGAAAACATCGAGGTCACAGAGATTTTTATATACCTTGGTAGAGCAGTTAAAGACTCCAGGCTGTCAGACCAGACTGTCAGTTGACAGATTGGTCTGGCATAGGGGGTCATGAAAT